GCCCTTTTAGGATGTCCTCAAACCCTGTGGGGTTCTGGGGGAGGCGTGTTTAGTGCAGGAGACCTCAGAGAGCCAAGAGCAGCCTGTGGGGACAGGGGTTGTTGGCTCTGTAGTTGCTGAGAGTTGGGAGCAGTTGGTGGAAGAACTTGTGCAATGTTTGTAAAACTGACATGGGGAGTCGTAGAGCATTTTCACCCAAAATGTGGAGCATTTCCTCAAAAACCTGCCTGTGTGGCTGAAGAGCATGAGGACTTCTCCTACCTGTGGGGGCTGGAGGAACTTGGGCAGCTTCAGGCAGGATTTGGAAAGATACACTTTGTTTTGTTCTTTTTCAAGGGTGTGTATGCCTCAGAGGCCATGCACTTCTGAAGGGCTTCCACATTACTCACATCTCTGTCATCTCACACATTATACAAATACAACCTCATCCATGCGGGCTTTTTGGTTTGAGCAGCTTTCCCAGGGCTACCCAAGAGCTGAACCCCAGCGCTCTGGAGGTATGGTTGAGTGGCTGAGGGTGTGTGCATGTGCTTGGCAGCGGCAGGGTGGCTCCTGCTGTCAGGCTGCATTGCCACCTGCTGGGGACACACAGACCCCTTCTGAGGCCACCTCCAACCACCCTTCAGCAAGGGGTGTCCCCATGCCCGCTCCCCCACCAGGGGCAAGCCTAGTTGGACTCTACCATGTTCCCTCAGGTACTTCTATTGGGCATATCTGCTGCCTCCTCCTCTGTTGGATTTTGTCTTCAGACCCTTCATAACATTGCGAGTTGTAACTCTAGATTTCCTGGTCTGAGTACTGGCCTTCAGTTCAGGTTTCTTTCCCGAGTGCAGCTAAAGGGACATGGATGATACTTTTGCCAAAGGGCTCAGCTGTTCTGGGCAGGAAGATGTGAGGAACCTGTATTGTTCTTCCCAATGTTGGGAAAAAAAAAAGAAAAAAAATCTCTTGCAACAAATCAACTGTATGTTCTGGGACCTTGCTGGCCTGGAGCAGGACTTGTGGTCTCACTGGGACCAGCCATATTCCCTTGGCTGTTACCATCTGAAAATCCCACTCAAATTTGGCCAAGGTGGAAAAATGTGAACAACATAAAAGAGGGGAAGGGGGAAAGGGGGAAAGGTGAGGTAGTGGTGTAGAGGGATGGAAGTCAGATGAGATGCTGGAGAGAAGTGAGGTCTGGCTGGGTAACTCATGTAAATGAAGCCCTTTGCCAGCATCTTTGCGCCTTGCATGGCTGCTTCTCCCACAGCTGCTTTGTGGTATCTCATGCGGGACATGCAACCTTAATTCTCCACCTTGCCCAGCTCTGTGCCTGACAGACAGGAACAATGTCCCTGTTGGGGACACGATGCTGAGTTGGTCTTCTGCTGTGCTTTTTCCTTATCAACACAATGAAGGCATCTGCCACGCCACAGCCAACAGCCAACTCTGAAGTGGTTTCAAACTGAAACCAGTGTGTGTTAAATGACTGCAGTGGTAGTTTGTAAACTGTTTTATCAGATGAGCTGTGTTTCTGGCTGCTAATGCTGTTGGAGCTGAGGACCACTCATGCCTATAGAATCATAGAATGATTTGGGTTGGAAGGGACCTTAAAGATCACCTCATGCCCCCCCCCCGCCATGGGCAGTGACACCTTCCCCTAGACCAGGTTGCTCAAAGCCCCATCCAACCTGGCCTTGAACACGGACAGAGAGGGGGCAGCCACAGCTTCTCTGGGCAACTTGTGCCAGGGCCTCACCACCCTCATAAATGTGCCCACTTTATGTTTGAAGCCATTACCCCTTGTACAAGCCCTTGTAAAAAGTCCCTCCCCAGCTCTCCTGTAGGCCGCTTCAGGTACTGGAAGGCTGCTGTAAGGTCTTCCCGGAGCCTTCTCTTCTCCAGGCTGAACAGTCCCAACTCTCTCAGCCTTTCCTCACAGGCGAGGTGCCTCCAGCCCTTGGATCACTTTTGTGGCCTCCTCTGGACCTGCTCTGACAGGTCCCTGTCTTCCCTGTGCTGAGGGCTCCAGAGCAGGATGCATGGGGGGGATTTGTTTGGGACCATAATATTAGCCACAGATTTAGCACCAATGCTGACTGCAGTTTGCGGGCATTTGAAAAGTTAGTATGTAGGAAAGGGAAATGAAATAAGTTGGGCAGAGGCAGCAGTAACAGATCTGTCCCCTTGCACTGTCCCTATGCCACATCTTTCATAGCCGAGGCTGCTGCCAGCTCTTGAGGTCTGAAACCAAAGCAGGCTCTTGGGGGAGATGCACACCTACAGATGATGTTCAGTTAACAGTATGTCGAACATTTTTCATCTTACTGATCACACTGGTATACACAGGAGGTGAACACAAACTGAGACAGGTGGCAATGCATTAAAAATGTAGCTTTTACTTATTTCTTGGGCGTATAAGGCACCTGATTTTTTTAAACCAGAACATCGCCATGGACAAACATCACCACCACCAAGAACTAAGTGTTAAATGTCTACACTTTGGATAAAGTCCCTCTCAGGTAGCTTGTTGAAGCAGGAGCAGTTGTGTGTTTTCAGGCTTCGTCTTGCTCCTGCTCCCTCTGCTTGGGACGAAGAAGGGTGGAAGTGAGCAGCACAACACCCCTGCACGAGACAGGAAGGGCACCCAGCAAAACTCAGCACTATGCTTCTTTCCCACCCTGACTGCTGGACCCCCTCCCTGAAGAGCTTTGCCGCAAACTTTAACAGAAATGGAAACTATAGAAACCTAGGCTGTATAGTACCTCAAGCAACCTCATTAATGCTTGTGCTGGAGGGCAGGATCACCTTTACCCATACCGTTCCTGATAGTCTGGTCTTAAAGCCTCTGGTGCTGAACAGTCAGAGCCTCCCTGAGGCAGCCTGTTCGTCCTTCTGCTAGGCAGAAGGGTGCTTGTCTGGGAGGATTTACATCCTCTTTCTGGTGGCCAGCACTGCACACAGACGTATTTTTTAATTAAAACTAACCTGCAGGACTGTGGTTTCCAATGGAAGCCACAACAGGGAGCATGCAACCTTGGACAGAGACAGCACCACAAAACATTGTCCTGCGAGAGAAGCACAGCCTGTGAGGGAAAGCACAGGACTGGCCTTGATGGATTGGAGATGGGGAAAAACGTGAAATACTTTTAACACTTCGGGTGGCTGGGAGGCCAGTGAGCCTAGCCACCAGAGCGGCTGTTGTGGCACATTTTGATCTCTTCAGACTTGAATCCTGGTCACAAAGCAGGGGATAAAGATAACCCAAAGCTTGTTTGTTTCAGCATTTTTATTAAACAGTGCTCCACTCAGCAGTTGTACACCAGGCCCTGATGATCCCCTGATCAGTGTACGAACCCTGGGACATGATGCTGCCAGGACACCAGGCTGCATGAACCATCTCCGTTACAGAAGCAGTGCCTAGGAGAAACCAGGCCCAGAGCAGTGTCCCTACACTGCCATCATGCCAGCCAAGCTGGGAGGTAACTTACAGCAGGCCTCAAGCACTACAGGATCCCACCCCCAAACTGATTAGCCTAATCCTGCTCTCAAGGCTGTGCTTCCTCCTTGCCTGTTGAGTCTGCATGAGCTTGAGGCTTCTGACAGGGATGCCCTGCCCAGAGCAGATGAGCTTCTCTGGGCTTCAGGCTGTATTTTGATGAACTTCCAGAAACATGTGATGGCAGCAGAAGGCTGAGCTTTGAGGAAACTGGCAGCCTCCAGGAATGGTTTCTACTCTTCGCTGGAGCAGCCCACCCAGGAGGTTCTTGAGGGTCTGCTGTGGCTAGGCACACATAAGCTAGCGGTGTTAGTGTGCCAGGTTTGGTCCTCCTGCTTCACTACTGCTGGTGCAGGAGCATGCCGGCTTGGAGGTTGGCCATGCTGCCCTGCAGCTGCTTGCCTGCTCTTAGGTGGCCTGAGGCACTCAGCAGCTAGGTCCTTAAAAGATCAAAACCCACGTCCACCCATGTGCCGGCTGAGGAGCTGCCCTCAAACAGCACAAAGGGGTACAGCTGCATTAGGAACTTTCACTGCACTCAGCATTTAGCTCACACTCAGTGCTAAGAAAGCGCTTTTACAGGGTTGCTGCAAATTAGTGTAGCATCAGCTAAGGATGAAGAAGCAGACTTATTCCTTGCAAGTATGTGGCCTGCTTGACAGGTCAAAGCTATTTAACCCAGGGCAGATTTTCCAGTTGGGTAGATGTGTGGTTGCATATGAAACTACACCAAGCGCTAACAACACAAACAAGGGACTCAAATTATCCAGGTTGAGGAAATCTTATAAAATAAAGCCCGTAAACAACATCTATACAGGTAACAGGTTAAACACTGACAGAACTCAGTGGAATACATTTCTTTTCCCATGCTGCTGCTGGTGGGCCTGGCACCACCTAACACCTGTAATATTCATACACAATTTTAAATAAAGAGTGCAAAATAAACTCTCAAAACTAAACAGAAAAGACCACACCAGCAAGCATGCTTAGCTGACTTCTAGGCTGGAGTTTTCCATTAGATGATCAAAGGACTTTGCAAGATTTAGCATAAGATGGCAAATAAGCACAAAAGCTAGTGGATTATTTGTCTGCCACTGGAAAAATGCACAGAAGAGCTATATATAGCCTTTATCTTTAAAGCAGACGGGTGCAAATTCAAAACAAGGCTTTGGCATGTCAGTTCCAGCTGTGCCACTTGTGATCTGACATTAAAAAAATGTATATAAAGACTCCACAGTCCACCACATTCGCTTCATGTGGAGCAGCCCAGCTACTGACCTGCACCCTGGGTGCTCAGAAAGAAAGCACTTAAAAGTAACTTGCAGGGTAACAGTGTCAGGTTTTTTTTGTTTTCCAGAGGCAACTAAATTCCTGCAACTACCTGTCAGCACACAAAAAAAAACAATTAAATGGCCAAATTTGTATTCATAGAAAACTTTCTCCCAGGAAATCAGATACAGAAAATAGCAAAACTCTATAGCCAACAAAATACTGTACATTTTGTCAGTGCTCACACTCACAGCCCTGTGTTTTTAAGAGACACCAGCAAAATCTGCATTCTGTCTTTGAAATAATGCAACGAGATGACTAGAAATATTAGAGAACTCATAAAGCCCTCAGGAGGATGGATTTATGTTCAGTTAGGTGAACAATGATGAGTGTGGATGAAGGAGAAAGCAGCGTCCAACTGCTTTTCCAAGGGTAGAAGGATTCAGGCAGGGAACTGCCAAGCTCAGGTTTAGAGTTCAAATGCAGGGAACTTGGCCTTGGTTGGCACCAACAGGTCAGCAAGAAAGTAAATTGTTCCAGCCATTCCTGAGGACAAGAAAAAACAGTGTGCTTCAAAGAGATTCCCTTTGGGCATCCATGTTACCAGTTAGCCTGGGGGTGAATAGGTCATGAAGACAGAAAAAATGAGAATGTTTCCAGAAGGACCTAAATAATTTCCAAGGTCTGAACCCAGGTTTCCCAAGCAACTTAGATGCTTCAGTGGGGAAAGCATTCTGAAGTTAATCAAATGTTGAAAGCCACCTGGCAAAACATGATGGGTCTCCCCTACCCCAGCCCCCCCTCCCTTCTGCTTTAACTGTCCAGAGTTTTAACAGTCTGAATATCTTTGCAAAACCTGGGACTCTGTGGCCTTGCTGCCTCAGGTCCTCACTGATATAACTGGCCTTGTTCCTTGGCCTGCAGTAAAGCTAGGGAGATTTACATTAGCTGAGGAAGTGGCTTTCAGCAAGACCTGCTGATGGCAGATTTTGGGGGAGCCGTTAGCAGGAGCCAGAAGTGCCATAGGAGCCAACAAGGCCTACCAAAGCAGCCCCATTTGTTCCTCCCTTACCTTTGGAATGGAGCTGGAAAGCCCATGAAGGACTTTAATCCTTAAAAATGCTCGGAAAGGAGACTGTCTGAGAAGCTAGGCTACCAGTTACCACAAGGTAGACTTTGGCCTGTACCTGTTAAAGCATTCCCCTTGAGACCTGTGTGCACAATCTCTGTGGGAGGCCCAAGAGGACAAGATGTTCCAGCTAAGACATTAGCCTGTGCTACAAGAAAACTGCTCCTGCGAAGGTGTAAAAACAGCAAATACAATTTCCTTCCCATCCTCTACACTGAGTTTTGCAAAGACTGACTCAGATCCAGGAGCAAAACACAAGCGTAGAGCTGGATGTTACCTTCAAAGAGAGAGAAAGGCGTGTCTGGAGTCCGGCACCCATGTTGACCATAGCTTAAACACCACTCTGCAAACTGAGAGAAGAGCAACAAGAAGTGTTCAAATTTTGTTAAAGATGGATCTTAAAAAAATAATACCACCCTCATTCTCCCATTATCCCTTGCAGAGCAAGGCTTCTGCAGGACATTCCTTCTGCACAGGCTGTCAGACAGTGACTGCACTGCTGAAGGACTACTCTGGTGGAGTTGGTCAGATCTAGCTGCATCTCTGCTACACTAGAAATTGGGTTTCAAAGGTGGTGATGTAAAAGACAAAAGTGAGTAACTGGTGAATAACATGTTGGGACCAGTGCTGTTTAACATCATTTTTGGGAACACGGACAGTGGGATCAAGCACACCCTCAGCAAGTTTGCTGACAACACCAAGCTGTGTGGTGCGGTCGACAAGCTGGAGGGAAGGGATGCCATCCAGAGGCACCTGGACAGGCTTGAGAGGTGGGCCTGTATGAACCGCATGAAGTTCAACAAGGCCAAGTGCAAGGTCCTGCACATGGGTCGAGGCAATCCCAAGCACAAATACAGGCTGAGTGGAGAATTGACTGAGAGCAGCCCTGAGGAGAAGGACTTGAGGGTGCTGGTTGACAAGAAGCTGAACATGGCCCAGCAGTGTGCACTCATGGCCCAAAAGGCCAACCATATCCTGGGCTGTGTCAAGAGAACCGTGGCCAGCAGAGTGAGGGAGGTGATTCTGTCCCTCTACACTGCTCTGGTGAGACCCCACCTGGATTCCTGCGTCCAGCTCTAGAGCCCTCAGCACAGGAAAGACATGGACCTGTTGGAGCGGGTCCAGAGGAGGCCCACAAAAATGATGAGAGCTTCTGTGAGGACAGGCTGAGAGAGTCTGGGTAGTTCAGCCTGGAGAAGACAAGGCTCCAGGGACATCTCATTGCAGCCTTCCAGTACCTGAAGGTCAGCTACAAAAGAACTGGAGAGGGACATTTTATAAGGGCATGTAGGGATAGGGCAAGGGGTAATGGCATCAAACTGAAAGAGGGCAGATTTAGATTAGATATAAGAAAGAAATTGTTTACTCTGAGGGTGGTGAGGCACTGGCACAGGTTGCCCAGAGAAGCTGTGGCTGCCCCCTCCCTGGCAGTGGTCAAGGCCAGGGTGGATGGGGTTCCAAGTAACCTGGTCTAGTAGAAGGTCTCCCTGTCCACAGCAGGGGGGCTGGAACTAGAGGATCTACAAGGTCCCTTCCAACCAAGCCATTCTATGATAATCCCCTGTCCCTTCCTCACACAGGCTGTTACCTTGCAGGCCCTGTACAGGTATTTCATGTTTTGAGTGATGTTGTACAATGTTAGGAAACTGTAGGCATTGCCAGCTGTCCCGTGGCACAGCCCATAGCCCTTCTTCAGTAACCCGTGCTGCCAGATCACTTCAGCACACTGCAAGGCATCATTTAGGTACTGCTGTTCCCCAAAGACCTGTAGAGACAAGAAAAATTCCCTCTTGCTGAGCAATTTCCTCCACACAAAGAGCACCCCTGTGTGAGTGGGGAGGCTTGTGTTAATTAGTTTCCTACTGAAGTCTTAATGCTGTGACTTTGCTGTCTGCTTTAAAGGAGGATGTTTTTGATACGATGAATGGGCTGTATGACCATTACTTCGCACACAGCTAGTTGCCACCATCAGTAACCCGCAACAGGACACCCCATGCAGCTGATGGGTATTTTCAGAATTAATTTTTTAAAAGACTAATTTCTGTTTCGGTCAGTGGTCCCTGTGGGGTGATTTCATTTTAACAAGCCATCAGGCAATGGGGGTCTCAACAGAGTCTTATCCATGATGAAGTTCCACATGAATGTCCCCAAAGGGTCTCTGCAACATTTCTGGTACCTTGTAGGCCTGGACAAGCATGTAGATAACACCCGGTGCCCCATGGCACCAGTGGACGAGTAGGTCTCTGGTGTCATCAGTGCATGGAGGGTAATTGCCAGATGGGAACTTGAGCTGGCAGACGTAGTCCACGCTGGGTTTGACTGTGTTGTGCAGTTTGACTTGGCTCACTCCAAGGCCAGGCTAAGAGAGAAAGCGTTAAATCAGTGAGAATTACCATTCTGTCTGTCCCTAAGAGGCACAAGATCTGCCTGAAAGGCAGAAAGGAAGCCCACTGTGGCCATGTTCCTTCTTGCTCTTTGTGAATGAAGCAATTTTTTTGGCCCAGGCTTTCACACATCACAACTACCCACTTGGCCCCAGGATGCTCTGCTGTTTGGTAGGGACTTATTTCCAGTCATACCCTTGCACCCCCAGAAACAAAGACTGCCCCTAGCGCATCACGCGGCCCTCTTGGCAAGAGGGCTTGCTGCTTCTTCCTAAAGATGAGTAGGAACAGTTTCAGGTACCCAGAGTTAGACTGAAATGATAAACTATATAAAATCAATATTAAGGATGAATACCAGCAATGATTCCTAGCACCTAGAGCACCTCAGCTCTGAGCTGCTGGGCCAGCCCAGCTGGCAGGCTGTGATGCTGGATTTTCATGGTTATTTCTGGGTAATTGCAAGGGGGTGACTTCACTGCCGACCTCAGACAGAAGCAAGGGAGTGGCTTCAGTGTCCTCTTCCAGTGACACTGTCCCACACGAAATCTGTACAGTTCTGACTTCCCACTGAAGAATGCAATGAGCACTCTCATCTAAGGATCACACTGTTCCCACGCTTAATAACTTGAAAATTAAAAATCCATGCTTGTGCTGTAAAACCGTTACAGATGAAAGTCCAATATTCTCCTCTCTGTATTTCCCTTGTTTGCTTCCCCCAAGGCTTTTTGTGCATCATACTTGGCTGATCCAGGCTCCTTGTACTTCATATGGCAGAGAAGCATGAAGCCCATGCAGTATTTTATAGGAGACTTGCATGTAAAATTCTTTAAAGCATCAGCCTGGGAACAAGTCTAGGGACTTGGTGCAAATTTGGGCTCACAGCACACTGCTGTCTCTCCTGCTCCCAAGCAGCTGTTCTGTACTCCTGTGCAATAATCACCTCACATCCTCTTCTTGCCAAATCACTTTCTATTTAAAAAACACCAACGACCCCTTCCTCTCTGAGTCACATAAGAGGGTTATATTCACAGGAACTCCACTTATCCTGTATATGAGCTTGAACTCTGAGGCTCCTGAAGGAAAGCTCAATTACTTGAAACCTGGTGACTTTTTTCCCCCACCTACTGTGAGAGTTAGGTCTAACAAAAGATACCACTAATTTCTAGGAACCGTGCTATGTTAAAATGATTTGCATTACTCAGTGGGTGCCATTAATGCTTTGAAAATTGAATGTTATTTATTGCTGTTGTTTTTCTAAGAGCTTAAGCACTGTAAATTTATGCACAAAGTGACCCACATAGGGGAATTATTACCATCATTCCAGAGCCAGGGAAGGAAAGATTCCCAGAGCTCCAGTGAGTTGTGCAGAATTGTAAGAAAGGCAGCATCAAAGCAAAGAGGCACTGCAGCTCCTAACCTCTTGTCTTGCCCTGCCTAATTCAGGCACTACAGAACTCAGCTGCTTTATCAAAGTAAAAAGTCCCACCTCTTTCACATTTAGATAAATGGCCCTGATTTGGACACAAAAGCATTTCCTGCTTTCCTACTACAAACACAATCTCTTTCACCATGCTTTTCTTATGGAGATTCTCACTCTGTAATGATCTGAGACTGCTCCAAGTACCCATCTCAAAAAATGCAGGAAGCCCACAGATACCAACAAATGGGAATACTTTATAAAGCAATTAGCACAAGAGGGGAAAGCTCAAACCCAGCTGACCTACAGGGCTTTGTTACATGAAACTGCTGGTATAACGCGGCGGGGGGGGGGGGGGGGGGGGGCACTGGAAAAATGCACAGAAGAGCTATATATAGCCTTTATCTTTAAAGCAGACGGGTGCAAATTCAAAACAAGGCTTTGGCATGTCAGTTCCAGCTGTGCCACTTGTGATCTGACATTAAAAAAATGTATATAAAGACTCCACAGTCCACCACATTCGCTTCATGTGGAGCAGCCCAGCTACTGACCTGCACCCTGGGTGCTCAGAAAGAAAGCACTTAAAAGTAACTTGCAGGGTAACAGTGTCAGGTTTTTTTTGTTTTCCAGAGGCAACTAAATTCCTGCAACTACCTGTCAGCACACAAAAAAAAACAATTAAATGGCCAAATTTGTATTCATAGAAAACTTTCTCCCAGGAAATCAGATACAGAAAATAGCAAAACTCTATAGCCAACAAAATACTGTACATTTTGTCAGTGCTCACACTCACAGCCCTGTGTTTTTAAGAGACACCAGCAAAATCTGCATTCTGTCTTTGAAATAATGCAACGAGATGACTAGAAATATTAGAGAACTCATAAAGCCCTCAGGAGGATGGATTTATGTTCAGTTAGGTGAACAATGATGAGTGTGGATGAAGGAGAAAGCAGCGTCCAACTGCTTTTCCAAGGGTAGAAGGATTCAGGCAGGGAACTGCCAAGCTCAGGTTTAGAGTTCAAATGCAGGGAACTTGGCCTTGGTTGGCACCAACAGGTCAGCAAGAAAGTAAATTGTTCCAGCCATTCCTGAGGACAAGAAAAAACAGTGTGCTTCAAAGAGATTCCCTTTGGGCATCCATGTTACCAGTTAGCCTGGGGGTGAATAGGTCATGAAGACAGAAAAAATGAGAATGTTTCCAGAAGGACCTAAATAATTTCCAAGGTCTGAACCCAGGTTTCCCAAGCAACTTAGATGCTTCAGTGGGGAAAGCATTCTGAAGTTAATCAAATGTTGAAAGCCACCTGGCAAAACATGATGGGTCTCCCCTACCCCAGCCCCCCCTCCCTTCTGCTTTAACTGTCCAGAGTTTTAACAGTCTGAATATCTTTGCAAAACCTGGGACTCTGTGGCCTTGCTGCCTCAGGTCCTCACTGATATAACTGGCCTTGTTCCTTGGCCTGCAGTAAAGCTAGGGAGATTTACATTAGCTGAGGAAGTGGCTTTCAGCAAGACCTGCTGATGGCAGATTTTGGGGGAGCCGTTAGCAGGAGCCAGAAGTGCCATAGGAGCCAACAAGGCCTACCAAAGCAGCCCCATTTGTTCCTCCCTTACCTTTGGAATGGAGCTGGAAAGCCCATGAAGGACTTTAATCCTTAAAAATGCTCGGAAAGGAGACTGTCTGAGAAGCTAGGCTACCAGTTACCACAAGGTAGACTTTGGCCTGTACCTGTTAAAGCATTCCCCTTGAGACCTGTGTGCACAATCTCTGTGGGAGGCCCAAGAGGACAAGATGTTCCAGCTAAGACATTAGCCTGTGCTACAAGAAAACTGCTCCTGCGAAGGTGTAAAAACAGCAAATACAATTTCCTTCCCATCCTCTACACTGAGTTTTGCAAAGACTGACTCAGATCCAGGAGCAAAACACAAGCGTAGAGCTGGATGTTACCTTCAAAGAGAGAGAAAGGCGTGTCTGGAGTCCGGCACCCATGTTGACCATAGCTTAAACACCACTCTGCAAACTGAGAGAAGAGCAACAAGAAGTGTTCAAATTTTGTTAAAGATGGATCTTAAAAAAATAATACCACCCTCATTCTCCCATTATCCCTTGCAGAGCAAGGCTTCTGCAGGACATTCCTTCTGCACAGGCTGTCAGACAGTGACTGCACTGCTGAAGGACTACTCTGGTGGAGTTGGTCAGATCTAGCTGCATCTCTGCTACACTAGAAATTGGGTTTCAAAGGTGGTGATGTAAAAGACAAAAGTGAGTAACTGGTGAATAACATGTTGGGACCAGTGCTGTTTAACATCATTTTTGGGAACACGGACAGTGGGATCAAGCACACCCTCAGCAAGTTTGCTGACAACACCAAGCTGTGTGGTGCGGTCGACAAGCTGGAGGGAAGGGATGCCATCCAGAGGCACCTGGACAGGCTTGAGAGGTGGGCCTGTATGAACCGCATGAAGTTCAACAAGGCCAAGTGCAAGGTCCTGCACATGGGTCGAGGCAATCCCAAGCACAAATACAGGCTGAGTGGAGAATTGACTGAGAGCAGCCCTGAGGAGAAGGACTTGAGGGTGCTGGTTGACAAGAAGCTGAACATGGCCCAGCAGTGTGCACTCATGGCCCAAAAGGCCAACCATATCCTGGGCTGTGTCAAGAGAACCGTGGCCAGCAGAGTGAGGGAGGTGATTCTGTCCCTCTACACTGCTCTGGTGAGACCCCACCTGGATTCCTGCGTCCAGCTCTAGAGCCCTCAGCACAGGAAAGACATGGACCTGTTGGAGCGGGTCCAGAGGAGGCCCACAAAAATGATGAGAGCTTCTGTGAGGACAGGCTGAGAGAGTCTGGGTAGTTCAGCCTGGAGAAGACAAGGCTCCAGGGACATCTCATTGCAGCCTTCCAGTACCTGAAGGTCAGCTACAAAAGAACTGGAGAGGGACATTTTATAAGGGCATGTAGGGATAGGGCAAGGGGTAATGGCATCAAACTGAAAGAGGGCAGATTTAGATTAGATATTAGGAAGACATTCTTCACCATGAGGGTGGTGAAACACTAGCACAAGTTGCCCAGAGAAGCTGTGGCTGCCCCCTCCCTGGCAGTGGTCAAGGCCAGGGTGGATGGGGTTCCAAGTAACCTGGTCTAGTAGAAGGTCTCCCTGTCCACAGCAGGGGGGCTGGAACTAGAGGATCTACAAGGTCCCTTCCAACCAAGCCATTCTATGATAATCCCCTGTCCCTTCCTCACACAGGCTGTTACCTTGCAGGCCCTGTACAGGTATTTCATGTTTTGAGTGATGTTGTACAATGTTAGGAAACTGTAGGCATTGCCAGCTGTCCCGTGGCACAGCCCATAGCCCTTCTTCAGTAACCCGTGCTGCCAGATCACTTCAGCACACTGCAAGGCATCATTTAGGTACTGCTGTTCCCCAAAGACCTGTAGAGACAAGAAAAATTCCCTCTTGCTGAGCAATTTCCTCCACACAAAGAGCACCCCTGTGTGAGTGGGGAGGCTTGTGTTAATTAGTTTCCTACTGAAGTCTTAATGCTGTGACTTTGCTGTCTGCTTTAAAGGAGGATGTTTTTGATACGATGAATGGGCTGTATGACCATTACTTCGCACACAGCTAGTTGCCACCATCAGTAACCCGCAACAGGAC